ATAAATAAAATAGAAGTACACGCACATCAACCATATGCTAATTCTTCATTCAACAATAATGATGAAATTAGAATACCAATCCAACATCAAGATATCTATACGTATCCCTGCAACAGTACTCTCTACATCGAGGGGGTGGTTAAATCAACAAATACAAAATTCATTAATAACGGATATGCTTATTTATTTGATGAAATACGATACGAAATCGGTGGAGTTGAAATAGATAGGGTGAAAAACGTTGGAATTACAAGTACAATGAAAGGTTATCTGTCTTTTAATGATAGTGACATTAAAATGTTAACTAATGCAGGCTGGACGAGTGAAAAAGGTAGTTTATTGACTCTCAAAGAAGACAGTACAAATAAAGGTACTTTCTATTTTAATGTCTGCATTCCTCTTAAGATTTTAATTGGGTTCGCTGAGGATTATAATAAAATTATATTAAACGTTAAACAGGAACTTATACTTATAAGATCAAGAACTGACCTAAATGCTATGCTTGGTGAGGTTAAGACTGAAACAGGAGCTGCAGGTACAAGTACAAGTATCGAGCCAACGATGGACATTAACATCAAGAAAATTCAATGGAGAGTTCCCTACGTATTCCCATCAGATCAAGAAAAACTATCTTTACTCAAAGTTATTGAAAAAAATCAATCAATTTTCATCAATTTTAGAACATGGGAGCTTTATGAATATCCTTTATTACCACAATCAAATAGACAGACATGGAATGTAAAAACATCAACTCAGTTGGAAAAACCACGATATGTTGTATTAGCATTTCAAACGGACAGATCAAACAATATCAAAAAAAATGTCAGCGAATTTGATATATGTGACGTTTCAAATGTAAAACTTTATTTGAATTCAGAGTGTTACCCGTATGACGATATGAACCTTGATCAGTCCAAGAATCAGCTAGCGATTCTTTATGAAATGTATGTAAAATTTCAAGAAAACTACTATTTTAAAAAAGGGCGAACCCCTATTCACATATAGTGAATTTGTAACACATGCTCCGTTAATTGTAATCGATTGTTCCAGACAAAACGAATCCATAAAATCAGGACCAGTGGATATAAGATTAGAGTTTGAATCGAAAAGTACAATCGCAGCTAAAACTACAGCATATTGTTTAATATTACACGATCGTGTCGTTGAATACAACCCGATGACAAGTTTGGTAAAAAAGTTAGTATGAGGTGAAAAAAGGAAAACAAAAGGTCAGGAACAAGGTCAAGGGTTAGTAGGTTGAGATTAAACAAGTTGTAACGTGATAATTCACAATTTTTATTCCAGTTGCTAACAAGATGTCGAACAGAACAGTCGTATGTGATATCCAAGGGTTCCGTGGACTAAAAAATGAGTTCATCGTGAAGGAAGCAGCTTTTCTCACAACTTCAGGTAGTAAAGTGCAATCGATTATTTTCAAACCACCTTTTCCATATACAGCGTTACCTGAAACACAACAAAAGGTTGCAACATGGGTTAAGCAATTCTGTCATGGAATTGACTGGAATGACGGTTACACTCCATATTTCGAAATGAAGAATATTTTTAACAGGATATTAGGATCTTACGATGTTGTATTAGTCAAAGGTATGGAAAAAAAGATTTTTATTGAAAATACTTTATCGAATAAAACTGTGTCCGTGCGGGATATGGATGAAATTTGTTGTCCAAGAATCAACGATCTGAGAAAACAGATGAGCTTTAGAAAGTGTTTTTACCATTCTCGAACGACTGATCAATGTGCAAGTGAAAATGTTAGACTGTTGTTACACTGGTATATAAACAAGGTTGAAAAGAAATCCACATTATTGGAGATCGAAGACAAAACAGTTGACAAGATTGGAGAAATTATTGATAAATTCAATACGCTTGATAAATACGGTAACAGAACTTTAGCCAATTTAAAAATACAAGAAATATCTTACCTACCGAAAGAGTATTTTGTACATCACGTGTCCCCGAGTGACCTATGGCACGTGTGGGACCTTCTCCCAGATCACAAAAAAGATAAGCTAAAGGATATAATTTACTGCTATGAACATTACAACTCCTCAGGTGCGGGTACAGATCACATCGACGGAAAACCTCAGAGAAAAGAAAATTGTGCAAGATGTACGCAATCGAATTAGAGCTTTTTATTCAAAGTAATCCACAAATCGTTCAACATTTTAACGGAATATTTCACGCTGAAGGTAGAATACCTTCATACATCAACTATCCCTCATCATATATATTCAATACTGGAGACCGATGGGTAGCCGTTTACATTGACGAATTTCATCGGGGTGAATATTTTGATAGTTTCGGTTTACCTCCACCTTACAAAATATTTCTCTTCATTCAAAATGCTACTGAAAAATGGAGTTACAATCGACATCGAATACAGAGTGAATCATCAGACTACAGTGGATACTACACTTTGATGTATCTGATCCATCGATCTTCTGGGCAAGACATTGAGGGGTTTACATCATTATTTTCAGACTGCACAGACGAGGAGAAAGATAAGCGTATCGGTGATCTGTTTTCAAAAAGCTTTAATAGTTCAAAAATTAAGTCAGTAAAACTTGCTGTAGAAAAAATGAAATCTTTATATCATAGGATGGAAAATAGAACCATGTGGAAATAAAATAGTTTTCATTTATATTTTTTCGTTTATTATTTATATTCCCTTGTGTACTACTTATAAGATTACATAAGAATTTAAGAATGCCGATCAATCTCATTTCTGCATAGAACGTGGTAAGAGAAGGTTATCTCATAATAATGAAGGTGATTAATCAAAAACAAAAATTAAACATTGAAAGTTTTGATTTAAAACCGGTTGATAATAGACGAAGACATAGTGGGCTCCTTCCAAATCAAATCAGATGTTTAATTACAGGACCATCATCTTGTGGGAAAACTGCTGTGATGTTAAGCCTAATTACAGATCCTAATGGATTAAAATTTGAAAACATATATGTTTACTCAAAGTCCTTATATCAACCAAAATACCAGTTTTTGGAAAACGTTTTAAAAAATGTAAAAGGAATTGGTTATTATAAATTCTCTGAAAATGAAGAAGTAATTCAACCTTCTGAGGCTAAGAAACACTCGGTGTTTGTGTTTGATGATATAATATGTGATAAGCAAAACAACGTAAGTGCATTTTTTAGTATGGGTCGACACAAAGACGTGGATTGTTTTTATCTTTGTCAATCTTATTCCAGAATTCCGAAGCAGTTAATTAGAGATAATGCTAATATGATAATTGTTTTTAAACAGGATAATAATAATCTTAAACATGTTTATAACAATCATATTAATCCCGACTTAACATTTACGGAATTTGTAGATATGTGTCAAATTTGTTGGAATAAAAAATTTGGATTTTTCGTAATCGATAAAGAAAGTGATCTGAACAATGGTAGATATCGCAATGGGTTCGATAAATTTTTTATAAGGTAATATTGTATGTGATACCACACAGTCTTCATCCAACTTCGAAAGGAAATGGATGTTAAAAAGGAGTTAATCAAAACAAGTAATACGGTAAGAAAAAAATATTTAGCACTGAAACGAGGTATTGTGGATGAAGAAGAAATATTCAAAAAGAAATTTAAACCTATCGTCGATCCTATTAGTGAAATAGTAAAAAATATTGAAGAGAAAAAGAAAAAAAAGAGTGACAAGAATTCATCAATTCTTGATAGTGAACAAACTCCGTCGTCATCACTTAAAGTTATGAATGAAAGCAAACCTTCACAAATTCAAACCAATGAATCATTATCAGAAGAATCGGATTCCAATAGTGAACATGATGAAAACGAAGAAAATTTTAACGATTATATCAATAAATCTATTAACGATAGTAAAAATGAAATGGATCATACGTATGGTGTATATTTAGGTGATAATGATGAATGGATGATTGGAAATAGTAAAATTAACTACGATCCATCTGATAGTTTCATTAAAATAAAAGGTCAAAAATTTAAACCAACAATTGGTTTGTTGGAACTTATGTTTAAGAAGAAACCAAATAAGACACTTATCACTAAAGATGATCTGAATTCTTTTAAAGATATATTACTGCTTACAAATGCTCATTTAGTGAGACATTCTGATGGAGAGAAGGTTCAAGCTACAAATACATTTAAATACAGAAACTATATAAAAAATATTTTTAAGAAAGGGAGTGGGTTAAAAACTCCCTATTTAAAATTGGATACTTATCCATGTGCTCCAGACTATGTGCATTATGATAATATAAATGAAATTGTGGACAGGCTGCGATTATTGAAATTATCAGAGATTTCAGGTAATACTAGTCACAATAACGAAGTTATAAATATAATATCAGAGCTCAGAGATAAAGGAGTTATAGAGTAACTAATATTATGGGTATAAAAGAAGATATTGCTAACGAGTTACATAAGTCGGTAAGAAAGAATTTTCCTCGACGAAAGGTAGTTGTGAAAGGGTTTGACGACCTTTGGCAGTGTGATTTAATTGATATGACAAAATATTACAAGGTCAATAAGGGATTCAAGTATATAATCACAGTAATTGACGTTTTTTCAAAATATGCTTGGTCAAGACCTCTCAAAACTAAAACCAGTAAAGAGGTTACTTTTGCAATGGAAAACATATTAAAACAGGGAAGGGTTCCAAAAAATTTACAATCCGATTTAGGAACAGAATTCTACAATTCCGAGTTTAAAAAGTTGATGGGTGATTATAAAATTAACCACTATTCTACCTACAGCATTTTAAAGTCGAGCGTGGCAGAAAGATTTAATCGCACGTTAAAAAATTTTATGTGGAAAAAATTTACAATTAATGGTACTTACAATTGGATCGACATACTAGACCAACTAATGGACTTCTACAATACAAAGAAACATTCGACTATAAAAATGAAGCCGTGTGACGTATCAAAGAAGAATGAAATGGAATTACTAAAGACCATTTATTCATATAAACAACCCAAACTACGAATGATACCTAAGTTTGAAATTAACGACTACGTCCGCATTAGCAAATATAAAGGGGAATTCGCCAAGGGATATACTCCGAATTATTCCACAGAAATATTTCGCATCACGCAAGTAGTTCCGACAGAACCCGTCACTTACAAGTTGGTAGATGCCGAGAACCAACCCATTGCCGGAGGATTCTATCAAGAAGAGCTAACTAAGGTTAAACATAAAGACGTTTACTTAGTCGAAAAGATTCTCAAGAAGAAGGATGATAAAGTGTTTGTAAAATGGCTTGGTTTTCCTTCGTCCAAAAACTCCTGGATTCAAAAAGATAATATTGTTTAACATGATATATAATAGACATTTTTTATACTGTAGTACTACTGCTTATTGTGAATAAATATATACTAAACTCAAAAACATTTCTTTTATTACATATATAAATTACAATTAAATATAGTAAAAATAAATTATCCTAATATACTTACCTTCGTCAGTCCCGAACCCGGTCCCGTGGCGTCGAAGCCCGAGACGATAACCGCTCGTCAACCTGAAACATGACCTACACAACCTACCTCGTATCGATATCAGTATAAAGACTTGCTTCAGATTGTAAACAAATAATTGGTATATAAATTAGACATCTTATCTGTTGTTTGACTCAAATGAATTGATGATGCACTCGCAGTTATCACTATCGCATGTTTTCTGCAACGTCACGATAAGCCACGATGCAAATCCATTAAGCGCTTATCTAAATACTATACAATCTGTAAATTGTTTAACTTATTTTAAAATACAACATATGTCAGTCCTAAGATTTTTTAAACAGATGAAACTAATATTTTATATATATATTTTTTTAATCACATGGTAGTTTTTAAAATATAAGTTTCGAACACAAATTCCCAAACAAAATATGTCACATATTTGTGGAAACAACCTCAACGTTAAATGATATACGAGCGCATGCCATAAAATCGCTTGCGATTCCACCATAATCGTTTTTAAATTAATCTATATAAACATATTATTTATCCATTATTCCTTACATCAGGCTAACAATTAAACACTCTATTTACTCCACGCATTTGGAAAACTATCTACACTCAACACTAATTGACAAAAGCGACAAGCGTTTGCGAGTTAATCATCACCACCTTAAAAATCAAAATGTTAATTTAAATATTTATAATACATCTTGTCACACCTGTACCCTCCACGGTGTCAGCTCTCTCGTCCGTCCACCACGACACACCACCGACACCTTTCCCGTGTGCCAGCCTCCGCGGTGCCAGCTCTCTCAACCGTCCACCCCGACACGCCGACGGAAACTTTCGACACCGTGTGCCAGCTCTCTCACCGTGCCAGCTCTCTCACCCATGTACGTTCTCCCCGTGCCAGTTCTCTCAGCCGTTTAATAACACGGTGGTGCTAGCTCTCTCATTTTTACCCTACTAATAACTTATATCATTAAACACAAACCAACATCCAAAACTATACACATCTTTAATACAACATAGATAATTATTTACACATTGACTGTTTACAATTAACATGTGTTCTTCTTTTCACTTTTAATTTTGCTTCGCACCGGGAAAAATCTGTTTCATAATCATTGAAATAGATTTATAATAAATAATCTATCATAAAGTTTAAGATTAAATAAACCTACCACATAGTTATTTTATTTTTCTGAATCAGCTGTCTGTAATTGTAAAATAGGCATTTGACAGTTGTTTACATTTAAATGTCAAAGCAATTGTAAACATTGTCAATTTGCTGATGCTTCCATGGAGACCAATTATTAATATTTAATTTCTGACAACAGCTGGAGTTTCAAAACAATGTTTGTTTCCCATGTTAATCTTATGGAGAAATACGAAACTTTAAAGGGCCCCAGGGCCTCACTCTCTAATTATTTACCTAAAAAGAAAGTTTCCTGCACAACTTCACGTTACGCTCCAATGACACCAAAAACATGTCAATCGGTTCAGTAGTTTCGGAGGAGTAATTGTCACAAAAATCCTGCTTGCGTATTAAATAAGTACGAGTAATGTCCAGTGGTCGAAACTCGACCAAAAATATGTAATGTACTCACTTATCTATTTTCACCCCACACTGTAAATAAAACATGTGATTGGAGTTTCCTCCATTTGTTTTGATTTTCTGTTTATATTTCGTTGTTATTTCGTAACCAGCATAGCAACGCATAAGATCCATGTTAATTTTTTCAAATTTTTAAACTCATTTTTTGTGCTTATCTTTGAGCCTATTTAAATTTATAAAGGGATTCTGCACACCTACAGGAAAATAGCTTTCCAACGGTATGCGTAGATTTTCCCTACGATTCACACGAGCTGAGAAAAAAGGTTTTAAAGAAACATGCTTGCCTATTAATATATAGATAGATAGATAGATTAGTTTTGTCTGCTCCAAATAATTTAGCATTAAAGACAGCTGAGTCTTTAATGCTAAATTATTTGTTTGAAATTTTGTATAGTACCTATAGAATATCTATCTATGACTACTAAAAACCACCTATTTAGTTGACTCTTTTAAAATCATCGGAAATTATGACTGTTATTAGTTTCTAAACAAGTTATTTGTTTATAAATAACTCCTGTACTTCTTTGCAATTGCTCGATTTCGAGCAACATGTACACTAGTAGTTTCTTTAATATTTCAAAAGACTGTATTGATAAGGCACAGTAATATTTTTAAAGTTTATAACAGCTGACTTAGTTTTGCTAATGATTTATTGTGAGTGAAAAAACTGAAGATGAAAGGATTTGTGATTTAATATAAAGAAGAGTTTTATATAAAGATATTTAAATTTAATAATTAGTATTTTTGCAACTTCAAAATTGAAATTTAAAACGTCAATAATAAATTAAAAGATGTGTAATTAAAGGAAATGAAGGTAAATCTGGTAAATCATGTATGTCAAAGTTTTACTGGAAGATTTGGTCAGTTTTTCTCATATCAGCCTACACAAGATTTAAAATTAATCAAAAGCAAAATGGTGGTATCCACTACTTACCAGATTTAAAAGTCATAACTTAAACGTTTCTATTAAGGCCATAAAAGTTGAATTTTGCTTCTAAAAGCGTTGGCGGATGTGTAACTATTATATGCAAGAGATAAAGATTAAAATGTTTCTATTTTGTGTCCTCTTCCAGTTCCAAAACACGGGTACAACAGCTAGTATATAATACGTGAAGGCGTTTTCTATGAAACACTACTCCTTCGTTAATAATGGACGGATTTTTACAAACGGTGTGTCAAAATTAAGTATTTTTTGTGTAGACGCCCCCTTTCACCAATTCCTGTAATAAAAGTCCTCGGGCTTTGCCCCACAGGCCATCAAAATCGCAATGTATTTCTTATGATGAAAAGATTTTGTTTACTTAAACAGACAGAATAATATTTGTATAAATTACAGCTGTTCATTAGTAAACACATTATACACACAATAGTGTTCGTTTTCAGAGTTAGTTCATTTGCAGTTTCGATAAATACTGTAGAGTGGAGCGATTGATTACATCTTTGAGTTGACTCTTTTGAGTCATAATCGGAAGTTATGACTGTTATTCGTTTTTAAATAACGCCTGTAATACTTTACAATTGCTCGAATTCGAGCAACAGGTGCTCTAGTATTTATTTAATATGGTGTTTTTATTGACAGAAAGGTTGCAAATTCAACCACCAAAATAATTTTGAATATATCGCAAAATTCCACGGTGGCTTAGTAGCTGTGGTTCCTTCAATAATCATATTATGCAACATGTACAGTAGTGCGCTCTGGTAGCTTGTTGCATTATACAGGCGCTATGAAAATGTCAAGAAATACACATTGTTAGTAGTAATAAAAAGTAATAATATTGATTATCAACCATATTACAATGGCTTATAGTATTTTGTTGTAGAAACGTATATACTGTACTTTGTTTTAAATATTACTAATATTTTAACAAAAGGTTATTACAACTATTATAATAGCATACTTTTGTGCTGACTAAAATCCAAAATTGTGCAAGATGCTTCATAGTAAGTTGTCTTCTCTCTCCAGCTTGATAAAAAATTCAACGTACAATGACAAAGAATCAGTAATTGACAGCAGTGCACTTTGTGGGAAGTAAAACTCAGCTACATTTATTTTCATTTTTAGACTGGACTGGCTACATAAACATGACACAGTAACGTAGCCAGGATTTCAAAATGGAGGGTCGACCGACCGGGCCCAGGTAGAAAGGGGGTCCGGGAAAATTGTTGAAAACATAGATTCGCGGACCAAGGAGCGCACAATACCTCCTCTAATGGGAGGTCATAAATAAAAACCGTAGGGGTAGGACCGAGGAGCGCAGAGGTACCTTGCGCTCCTCGGTCCTACGCGAGCAAAGAACTAATCCCCTACTTATACGGATTAAAAGAGACAATGGCTGGTCGACCCTGCGAGTAAATCCCATTAGTCACGCCTCACTGAATACACCACTTAAAAATTAAAGTGTAATGAGTAATTTTGAAACATTAACATTAAGATACTGTATTAAGTATTCGAAGTAGTTATCTTAAAAACAATTTGTTTTTGTCCGACGTTAATCAGCCCATTTTAAATACAGACACACTGCATATTTTAAGTGCAGTTTAATACAAATTAAATGTTTAGTACTAAGTAGTGCGGAACTAAATATGCATTATTTTATTATGATTAAAATCATATTAGATTATGTGAGACGGTTAAACTTGCTCTCTGAGAATTATTATCAAAAGATGTACAGTATTTTGTTTTGCAGGTATAGTTTGTATAATTTTAAAATAGCTTTGAAGGCATGACGACTATTGCTTAAAACATGCATGGTTCTACGTAATTTGTCTTGATCCTCTCTCTACCGGTGATTCACCCTTCGTCCTACGGAAACACGTGGAATTTTCTCTCGTGGTTGAGTTATGATATTGAATGACTCAATTCTAGTACCGGACGTTCGTACTATTTAGGAGCAATGCATACCATTCTTGAAACTTATTCTTAAGAACAACATATTATGTTGTGCATTTCCGGCTTAGATGGGTGAGGAGCTTATTGCTGAAAGTGATATTTTTGCCAAATGACAATGTGCCTGGGCTAAATTTACTTCAAAAAGTAGTGTATTTTTACATAGGCTTTGTTTAAATTTAAAAATACTTTTTGTATAAGAATAACTTAGGTTTTTCTGAAAGTATATTGTCGTAGTAGTATATTATTGGAAATATCTGAAAGTAAATCGATTGTTTTGTTTCGATTAGTTTTTAACCGTAATATTGCCGACATAAAATGTTATCTAATGAAAACCTTTACCCTTAAG